ACATCTTTTCCTTCCAAGGATACATCATGGGAATGCAGAAATCCAAAAATCCAGCGAACTTCTTTGTGTGGAGTCCGGTCAAACCCCGGTGGCAGCCATGTTTGGTTTTATTATTAGAGAACGCTTACGCGCGTAATCATTCCATATTTTGAATTTGCATTTCCTAATATGGTAGGATGAAAATACCTCGTAAAATACTGCAAAATTACGGCACGCTGTAACTTATGGCGTTACGATGACAGATGTATAATAATAGATAATATGAACTCTTTGAACACCAAAGTCGACTTATGCCACCGTTAACAAATATAAACCCATATAATTTTTTTCATAATTTTTAAAAAAATTGTATCAATAGGAAGTTATGTCCATTTGGTTCAAATCAAACAAAATAGAGAAAAATATATAGAACAAATAAAATGTTGCTCCATAATTTTGCTTTGAAAAATTATGCCACACATAGTTAACCTCTAATATTAATGAGTCTTTCTTATACAATGATGGTATTACATGTACCACCCAACCATGGATGTCAATAAATTATTACTTTTATTGCATGGTTTTATAGTAAATAAGATTGTTTTATTTGTCTTTTGACCTGATGGTATGCCATGTGACCTCATGATCATACTTTGCATATTTGTCATTCATAGCCATATCGTAGAATACAGTATTTTCACTTGCAGTTTATTTTTGCTAAAGGGAATGTAAAATTTGTTGAAATACTTTAATTTTATTGTGGTTTTATACGCTTTATGACAAAGCAGTAAAAATAAATTAGTTAAAAGTAAATTTACATACACTGAATGCATCACTATCAGCACTGTCATGTATTGAAAGTGGAATTCACCATTGAATCAAAGTAACACGCCATCTCTCTTATGTAGGTTAGAATTTGACAATAAAATGATCCTGAGATTTAATGTGATATGCATTGTTTATGACTTTTACCATAGAGTGATATATTTAATGTTAAATTCAGTATTTATGCAAATAAATTACATGAATGCATCAATTATTACATATGTGCATTAAATGACTAGATTTAAAAACTAATAAATCATCTATCTATATACTTGATATGTTTTAGTACT